TATATACGGTTAAATGAATATTTCCTGATTTTGATGGGGTAAGGAAGGTTTGCGCATTATACATGCTTGAGCATTATATTCGGAAATATACGGTATGCCAACAAGTCAAAGATAAGGTCATGCATGGTCAAAATTTTATAAATTGTAAAACCTTATTTAACTTTATCACTTATTGTCCCAAGCAGTGAGTTATTTTTATGAAAAATTTTGATGGTGACAAATGCAAACATTGAGAGTTGTAACAATTTCAAATATTTAAGGTAAAGGTAAAAGTAACCCCGATTTGCCACGCCCACTTCAAAAATTTTGTTTTGTCTCTAATAACATGTACAATGTTAAATAATGTTTAAAATTTCAAGTGTTTACAATCATTAGATATGAGATATTCGTAGTTAAAAGGCAACAGTGACTGTCGGTGGATTATAGACATTGTGAATTTACGCACAGTTACTATAGAAGTCGGTACAAAATTTTCAAGTTTTAAAAAGCGCAATTTGATCAACATATCTGTGATATATCACCAAAAATGAGAGATCATACATTATAAGAATATATAAGAAATTTTGTCGTATGTTAATTAGGTCACGTGGCAGAGAGATATTTCATTGTCAGGGTGTAAGAGGACAGATTACTCAAAAAGACAAAAATGACCACTTATTTCAATATCTGAAAACGTATTAAGTTCTGTTTGTGCTATATTCAGTAAATATGTTTTGTATTTATTAGTATTTATGTTTATTTTTCGTAATTTAGTAGAATAAATGAAATATTTTGTCAAAATTAATGAGTGATTGATAAAATCGGATAAAGGCCAAGGAATTAAGTTACTTTATAAACCAAACACTTTTAAGGATGTTGTTAGTTTAATACAATTTTTATCACTTGATAGGATATCCCATACCTTTTGTGATTCGCTGCAGGAAATGAAAAGATGTTCTAAACTTTCGATACATGAACCACATAAATCACAGAGAGTCAAACTTTCTTTTCCTATCTTACATAATTTATCGTTTGTAAAAATAATGCGATTTAAAAATTTATATTTGAAGTTTCTAGATTTTATATTACAGCAAACATCTTGTATTTCTTTGAATATAGACTTAATGTCTTCTTCTAAAAGCTCATTGTCAAGGTATTTCTCCCAAACCTGTATTCCTTTAGGTTTCGAATAATATTTCTTTATTTGAATATCATATATATATTTTGGTTTTATGGCATCTAATTTATGTTTATATAACATGTAAAGGTTTCGACTTATTTGTTCTGGAATCGTTATTGTTTTCAAAGTGTGGGTTGGGGATTCTTTAGATAATTTTTTAATTAATTTTATGCCTAAGAGAGTAAGGTTTCCGCATTCAGTTGTACTTTTTAGTAAAATATCTTTCACATGAATATATCCTTCTTCAAATATAGTTTTATCAAATATAGGACTACCTCCAATTTTAATATTTATATTATTCCAAATTATTTGCGATTCAAAATTTTCTAAAAAATCAATATTTTGTGTGTATATAGCATACCAATTCATAAATATGTCAGAATAAAAAGGGCTACTAATTTTTATATTTTTTGAATAATTGCAAGCAGGCAATATAAATCCATTTCAATTCAACATTATAAACCTGAAAGGAATAAGCCATGTTTGATTTTCTGCTTGATATAACTTTTACTTCTATGCATTTACTTCTAAAAAATTCGAAAATATTTAACATTCTTAAACCACCATCTTCATAATCTTGAATAATACAGTATCTTTAAATTTTGTCAGGTCCTCTCCATAAGAAATTGTACAGTAGTTTATTAACTTGACACAAGACATGTTGTGGTATCACTGTTGCTGATGCTGGATATGAAATTTTTGTTATTATGAATGTTTTTATAATTTGAATTTTTCCTGATAAATTTAGGTTATATTTTTCGAACAGAGATATTACTTTTTCAATTTCAGGATATTTGTCAATATAGTTTAGTTTGATCATAGTATCATTATCTAAAGAAAAATTTATTCCTAATATTTTAATTGAATTTCCACATATTTTCACACTTAATTTTTTCATTTCACTTTCAAAATCTTGTTTTTCTGTATTTAGATTCATTGATTCTGTTTTGTTAATGTTAATTTTTAGTCCAGATACAAGACTAAATAGCTTAAGTATTTCAAATAAATGATGTCCAGAAGCAAAGTCATGTAATAGTATGGTCAAATCATCTTTTATTTGTGCTTTGCCGAATCTTATTCCTTTAATTTTGACATCATTTCTAATATTTTCTAATAAGATTTCAATTACTAGATTAAATAAAATCGAAGACATTGGATCCCCTTGTCTAACCCCCCTAGAAATTGGAAAGGATTTGGTGGTGAATCCATTGTTCATTACAGTACAGGTAATATAATACAGAATTTGTAACCATCGTATCAAATTTTGTCCGAAACCAAATATTTTTAAGACATGAAATAAAAAATCATGGCGAACACTATCAAAAGCTTTCTGGAAATCAATAGCTAAGAAAAATCCTACTATTTTCTTTTGCTGAGCAAGTTCAAAACTATCGTCTATTATTCGAATGTTGTCCTGTATATGTCTACCAGAAATAAAAGCCGATTGGTTAGGGTGAATCAAATCACTTAAATATGGTTTTAACCTATTTGAAAGAATTTTAACTAATTATTTTTGTATCACAGTTAGTTAATGTTATAGGCATCCAATTTCCTAATACATATTTATTCTTATCTCCTTTAGGAATTAATTTAATTACCGTCTGTTTTTGACTTGTAGATAAAGTACCAGTATCAAAAATATGTGTTTTATTGATGGCCAAAAAGTTTGATAAAATTCAATTGTTAACACATCATTTCCAGGGGATTTGTTTAGTTTGAATGTTGTTAATACGTTTTTTACTTCATTTTCATCAATTTCATATTCCAAAATATCACATGCACTTTTATCAAGAATATTATGTAGAAGACAATAGTAGTAGTCTGTAGCTAGTCATTTTGTTTACTCTTTTGTGCGTCTGGCAGGTCAAGTCTAAACTCATATCGATTTTCACGCAAAGATTTGACAGCAGTAAAATTACACAAACTCAGGTAAATTAACACTTAATTTAACGATAATACTATTTCTTGTAAAGTTAAACGATAGTTTTAGCCGTTATCATGAATTGTTTGCTTTGTCAGGCTTTTTAAACATTTTCTATCGATGTTTTATAATACTTATAATTGTCTATTAATAGTTGTAAACAACTTCCGTTATGATACTCATATAATCTAGACTACCTTGTCGTTTTCTATACGTATTATTTGTAATCTGCCAGACTTAGATATATATTTTATAATTAGGCTAATTAAGCATCTTCTGTAAAATTATTATTTTCTAAATGTGTATTTTTGATGACCTTTAAAATTGTTGTTGGATGTTTGTACTTTGTTTTATTATTTTAAATAATGTCTACCTCTGTTTTTACAAACCATTTATATTTTGATTCAATATTCTTTATACTCTATTTCCTACTTCTGTGTTGGGTCTGTCGATTGAGGGAACAATAGTCCACGACGTCTAAAACGCAACAATAGACTTGACTCTCATAACAGCACCACTCACTGTAACATAACGATTACCCCTCTCAGTCGTGGCACATGAAAATTGTCTTCACACTAAGGCTGAGTAGAGAGCAACAAGGCAACTTGGTTGATCTCTATATACCAAGACCGACTTATTTCGGCACAATATTGTACGTCAATGTTGTATTTCTTTTATGCATATTATATAGTTAAATGTTTTAATGATGTAAATAAACCTGATTTTGTTGAATTAGTGTGTTTTTACATCGCATCTTGGGGTTCCTGTTCCAGTGTTGCTGTATTGGAGGATTGTCACGAATATACCACTTTTAAGCTGGTAACGTGCCCACTTTAACTCTATCATATTGCGGTGCCAATTCAAATTGGACTAGTGTTCCAAAGAATTGGGTTTTGGCAAGAAGTACTACTCCCTGACGCCCAGAGTTTTAGAGAAGTAGAACATTTCTCTTCCTATCCCTTTACTGGTGCGTTACAATTAATATTACGTATTCCATTGAAAGTACTTAAAAAGTCAGATGTATTATCCAGCGATGGTGAATACAATTTTCTATAGAAATCGTATATTTTATTGTTAATTTCATTGGAATCAAAGGTGTACTAGTCTGAATAGGTAAGTAGTTTGCGAATTGTTGCTTTTGACTTATAAGTTTTTTCTAAATTAAGGAAAATTTTAGAGTTTTTTTCTCCTTGACAGTACCACAGTTGTTTTGATCTAATAAGCGCTCCCTGAGTTTTTTCAGTATATATCTCGTCAGTTTTATTTTTAACATATAAAAGATCGCTATATAATTTCTCACTCTCGTTATAATTAATTTTATTTTCTAAATCTTTAAGTTCTTCTAATAATTTGTCTTCAATTATTCTTTTTACTTTTTGTTTTTTTTTTGCAATATTTTATCGAAGTTTCTTTTATTTTGTATTTGATATAGTCCCATAGACTATTTTTATCTGACGGATCATGAAATTCTTTAGTCTAATCATCTATAGACGAATTGATTAAATTTATATAAGATTTATCACGAGTTAAAGTTGCATTAAAGATCCATAAATTGGGGCCTCTGGATACTTTGTTAACTATTATTTCAAGACTGATTACGTTATGATCAGAGAAGAATACTGGTTCAATATCTGACTTCCTTACAAAATCCGTGAGATTTACAGAGATAAGCCAATAATCTAGTCTACTTTGGATAGGTGGTTTATATTGTGCCAGCTAAACCTTTTTTTCTTATTATGCAATAGTCGAAATGTATCCGTAAGCTTGAGGCTATGTATAATATTTGGAATTTCTTTTTTACCTTTAAGTTTTTCTTTGTAGTTGCCACCTTTTCTTTCTAATTCAACATCTAAAACATTGTTCAAATCTCCTCCAAGTATTAATATAAAATTTTTATAATCATTTTCCAATTTTATTAATGTATCAAATAATTTCATAAAGTTATAGGATAAAAATGATAGTCGCTCACGGTCCAAAAACTTATTTTGGTTCAGGAGATATACAAAAATCATTGGGTTCTCTTCCTGGATTTCCATGGGCGAAATATCCCGGAGAAAAACATCTTCCCGGTCATAATTATACAGGTCCAGGCACTAGGTTAGATCTACGATTGGACGAAAATGATAATCCCAAACCAGGGGAAGAACCCATTAATAGAGTTGATGCCGCTGCGCTTAAACATGATATTTTATACAGAAACAAAGACATAAAGTTTAGACACGAAGCAGACAAACAAATGATAATCGAACTTGAAAATATTCCAAACCCAACTTTCAAAGAGAGAATGGAAAGAGCATTAATCATTAAACTGTTAAAAGCAAAGATGAAATTAGGCATGGGATTGGCGGATGAAATTCATAAAGAATTTAGAAAAACTAAAAACTTTTTAAAAGTCAAAGTGTTTGAAAAAGATGAAATATGGTCAGCCGATTTAATTCATATGCCAATCGAAAGAGGATTTAAATATTGCTTACCAGTTATAGATTTATATACGAGATATGTATGGGTTATTCCTCTCAAAAA